CCCTTTGGCAGTGTCTCTGAGTCCTAAGTGCCCTTTCTCTCGCCTCCCGATAACGCAGGTGCTGACGCTGGCCACCCCTGTACCTGCGACAGGCCCATGCCTTCCGCTTTATGGCTTTTGCCCTGACTACCTTTTTTGCCCACCAAGGTGGCTGGCCTTCTCTTCTGATCCTTCTTAGGAGAGCGAAAACGTCCGTGAGCCGGGTGATGCTTTCTTTGATTAACTGCCATTCCTGCTCCACAGTGGAGGCCATCTGTTGTCCACTGGATTGCCTCTGCTGCTTGCCTGAGCACCGGGACATCCAGTTCCCTATAGTCCGTCCTGAGCTTGTGTGAGACCGGGGGAGGATTGCCCTGATGTGGAACCTAAGTACTCCATGGTCACCTCGCCGTAGGGGTGCAGAAACCTCGAGCTGTTTCACATCCCGCGGCATCTTGGATAGAACTAGTTCTTACATGCTTGGCCTTTGCCCCTCCCGCCATCTAGTCGGTTGATTAACGTGCTGCACCAGGGATAGCACTGTCATCGAGTCCACTAGTTTTCTACCAAAACCAGATTGAGGGGCCCACAGGCTTTCCCAGTCTACCTCCGGATAGTTGAAGTCTCCCATGATGACCAACCGCTCCGCATGTTTGCTTACCCTGGTCAGATAGTCGCCATCCACTTCCTCATCTGAGAGTGGTGCTCTGTAGGCACCTACTAACGTCACTATGCAGTTCGGGGATTGTATGTTGCATGAGCGCGCCTGAATATTCGGCGTGGACATGTGATCACCCTCGGCCTGATCTAGAGTGTCCGAAACAAGGAGCAATATGCAACCTCCACCCCTACCATCTTCACTGTCCGACCTGTACGCGCAGCATCCGGTGAGTTGCAGGCTCTCCGTTGTGACTGCCTCGTGTAACCCTGTCTCGGCAATCAAAATACAGGCTGATCCTACGGTTACAGCCCTTAATTCTCTCCACTTGTTGCCTAGGCTGGAGGCGTTCGTTTAGAATGATTTGTATAATTGCTTTGTATACACCTTGTCCTCGACGAATCTGTTTTGATGCTTCAGAGGTACATGAGAATAACTCTTCAGTTAAGGTTTAGGAACCCCGTTTGAGCAGTTCCGCTCAAATGGTGTCGGCGCTAATTGGACTAAAATGTCCTTCGTACAATTATTGTGACCAAATATCCAGTAACCAACATATTCCTCGAATCACTCTCACTCAATTCCTTCGACCCTCCTTCGTGGCATATGCTAACCAGATAGCTGTGTCCACTTTCGCAACCAATTCTTAACAGTACATGATTTCAGTTTCAAAGCTGGATCTGTGTAATTCAAAACTCTGGTGCGCACTCTTAGAAACATTTTATTCATTTATTTATTTTCTTACCGCGCTGAAACTCCTCGCTATGGTCTGACGTTTATATTCACTCCGATACCCTATCATTTTCGTGCAACGTGCTAGGTGTGCACTTATTTTTAGTATTGTTCCGTCGCATGCTCCGTTGCCCCTCTCCCTTCCCTCTTCAGCTGGGTACTACCCCAGACTGCTGCACATCGTCTCTTTGTTTCAGATTCGGTTGTCTTGGGCCTGCCGAAGGCTTGGGGTCCTCACCCGCAATGGACAATCTGACTCCGGCAATGGTTGTTGGGCACGGCTGTTTCCACCGTTTTGACTACGTGCGTCCGCGTTCCGGACCAGGTTGAGGATCACACCCCCTGCCTCACATACAAGGTGTTTTCAGGTTAGGTGTCTAGCGTGTAGTCAGTCCCACATCAAAGCGACCAAGGCCTAACTAATCTAAATAAACCAAACCATTCGTGATTGATTGAAGACCCGAACCCAATGAACTTGTCTCCAAAAGCGAGTGGTATTGAAGCACAGAGTGAAACATGTTCCTTTACCGACGTATTATTCTGCTGTGTCCCTTACTTTCTATTCCTGTCCTCATGCCTCTATCGTCGGGCAGCATTTGTATTACAGACCGCCTCTCTGTATTTCCCCGCACTGTTACCGTACGGCCAATCATTTGGAGACCAGTTNAGTTTTACCATTACTTCCAGTTCTAGTGACATGCATTTTCAATGCATGCTCCATCTTCCATAAATTCGTCGGTGACCTTGTCCGATTTGTGTTCCTTTCACACTGTGTTTTCGTTCTGATCCCCACCATTTTTATTGTCTACCTATGTACGTACACTATTACTGTACATATACTCGCTCTGAACATTTGATCATGCATTGGGCATGTCTCACGGGCTTCGTGAAATATACCCCTGTTATTAGTATTATTATAACACATCTGTCGAGCTAATAATTTCATCTTCTCCACCCCGATATGTCCTTTATGCAATTCTTCAAGTACCGTCTTACGTAGTGGCGGTGGGATTACCAATCGATCGTCGCGACACAATACACCATCCAATTGTACTGACAAATCCTCTCTGTGAGCAAAAAATTAAAGAGACTTTCTCTTCGCCTCTGGTGACCACCCTTTCTTGATCCCTGAGAGTATGGCCGAGTAGTACTGTTTGGTGGATTTGCGTAAAGATTTCCGAGACACTGATGATGCTGGAGAGATGAAGTGACACTGTTCGGTCTCAGAAAATCGTGAGTAGCGAGAGAGGAAATCAGCCTGCGGGACAGTCTTTCCTAGACGACGTTGGATGTCATAGTTATAAGCAGCTAGAGCGATACTCCACCTCTGTAGCATAGCAGCATTGGACTTCGCGATGGATTTTTTGGGGTTGAACAAGCACGACAGAGCTTGAAAATCAGTGATGATGGTAAACCGCTATCCGAAAAGGTACGTGTGCAATCGTCGAACAGCCCAAAATACAGCCAACGCTTCTTTTTGAGTCTGTAAGTATCCCTTTTCTGCCGCATTGAGTAGATGTGAAATGCAGATCACTGGGCATCCTTCTTGTTCTAATACAGCACCGATGCCGACGTCGGACGCATCGGTGATGAGTGTAGTAGGTTTTGATGGTGAAAACGGGGCCAAAACAGGACGATTAGTAACGCAGCGAATTAAACCGCATAGGATATCTTCACACTCCACCGACCATTCCCAAGCGTCAGAACACTGAGCACGGAAAAGTGGCTGCGCCCTTGTAGCAAATTTCGGGATAAATCGAGAATATTACTGTAAATATCCCATCACAGATCTCAAATGTATTTGATCCTTTGGAAATTCGATGTTAGTCAATGGTTTAAAACGTGCCGGATCGAGACGTTATCCACGGAAATCAACTGTGAATCCTAGAAACTCCAACTCACTTACTTCAAACACACATTTGGACGGCTTGATAGCCACGTTCCTGGCGGCGAATCATTCCAGTAACTGCGTCAGACGGTCATCGTGTTCTTTCTTATTAAGGCCGAAAATGAGGACGTCATCTTGATATGTAAGCACACTGTTGAGTCCTTTGATTTCACTGTCTATTGCCGATTGAAAAAGGCCAAACGATACACGCAATCCGAATGGGAGAAAATTGTACTGATACATTCCTCACGGCGTGTTGATTGTTATCAAGTGGCAAGATTCGACATCGAGTGGAATCTGTAGGTATGCGTCCACCAGATCGATCTTGGAAGAATACTGGCACCCATTCAATGACTTTACGAAATCCTCTGGTTTTCTGGTGGTCGCTGCACATCTCCGCAATCTGGGATTCAGTCGATAGTCTCCACAGATCCGTGGTGTCCTACCATCACCTTTCATCGCCCAGGCGCTGGATTTAGCTTTGCTTATCACACCATCCTGCTCCATTTTCTGTACTGCTTTCAGGACACCTTCCCGTTGACCGTATGGGAGGACGCGGTGTTTTAGGAAAATAGGTTCATCGTCCACTTCCATCCTTACTGACGGTACTTTCATGATCCCAACGATAACGGAACACTGTACAATCAAATGCTGAAGATGTGAGGTGATTGGCATATCGTTGTTGGTATGAAGTGTGATTGATCCTTGTAGTAGCCGCATAACTCGCAGGCCCAGAATAGACGGACTGTGGGTTGATACCAGGAATCGGATTGGAATTGACACACCGGATTCAGATTGAACGCACAGCATCGTTTCACCAAGTAATTGCAACTGATGGCCAATAACCGCATGAATGCGCACAGAAGTCAGGGTTAGAACAGCATTCGGACAAGTCGCAGTGAGCGACGATTTCGGTGGGATAGATTCGCTGCTTATTGTGTCCATGAATCGATGTTCCACACCAGACTCGAACCTCAGTGGGGTGAACACGAACTGGCCGTTGGGTTCAGTGATCTGCAGCGTGTATATTGGGCTTGAGTTCTCATTTACCGTTGGGTATGGGAATCGATGAGGTTGCACTTGGGCATCCGGCATACCTTGCGGATATGGCCCATCTTACCGCATGCATGGCAAGTGTAGTATACGAACAGGAGGGCGGATGAACGAGACTCACTGAATTTATCGAACATTCTTTGTTTATACCACGATCGAGCTGACTGAAAATGAGACAGCAGTTAGTTGCGCACACATGGAATATTGATTGTCGTATAAATCCACAAGGAAAAACACAAAGTCGAGAGACGACATGTATTGGCGATAGTCACAGGAGTCAAAACGGAAACGGTACATTCTGCCTATCTAGGCGTGCTTGTGTGTAGTGTCATGTACAATCAGTGAAACAAAAAAAAACAGTCGGTCTTTTTTAGTCACTAACATTCAGTGTTACGCCTCATGATTCGTCTTTCTATTGTTGTTTCTGTTTTCGTTTCGCACATAGTGAGTATATTATGAAAGGCAAAAATGGAGGGAGAAAGACCAAGTTGGGCGGTGTGTTTGAAAAAGGGTTGTACACTATTCAAGTGGCATTTCGGAATCCACT